AGGAGAGTTGTTGAGAAAGAGCAGCAGAGGTAAAGTAGTTAAAATTCCAGACGCCCATCTCACAGACACACCCCTGAGTGTCTGAGCGACGGCATAAGAAGAGGCTTCTAGAAGACACAGAGACATAGTCTTGGTGTCATTGTAGGGTGACTTGTCTCAAACCAGAACACTCGGGGGATAGAAAAAAAACTTGGTTCTATCAATCAGCTGTTGATTGGACTTTGAGATGTGGTTGTTGCACTCAAAAATGAATGTGATTGTGGAAAGGCAGGGTTTAAAGGCCTGATCAGTGAGATTAATGTTTCGTGTGATAAACATTTTAATTTGAATGAACAACTGTTTATGTGTCTTTTCAGACAGATAAAAACTTTTGTATGTCATCAATGCAACAGTTTTTTTACAGAGTTTTTTTTCTAAATATTTTTCCATCGCACTGCGAATAAAACTGATGAACTGCAAATCATAACAAATATGATTTGTGCTTTTGGTCACAGGCCTAGAGTCTTTGCTGTTTAATAAAACTACGACTTGGTGGTGTTCACAAACAGACTACGCTAAGTGACAATGAATAGTAATCTACTCTGGAACTGGCTCTTCTGTCTCTGTACTCTTGTTTTAGGTGTTTTTTGATAAATGCATTGTTAATACAAAAATCTCAACTGCTGTTTGAAAAATGTAAATATTGTTTCACTTAATTTCTTCCCCATGACAATTGGGTGTCAGACATGGAATGTTCGGCAACATTTTGTTTACCAGAGTAATCAGGGTATTTTTGTTTTTCTATAAGCACCACCACCTGTCAGCGAAGGAAACTGGATTTTCATTGCCATTTGTAACACACTGGTCTTAAGAGACAAATAAAAAAAAATTGGACAGAATTTGCATGCAAATATGAATGTGGGTGTGAACAGGCCTTAAAGGGATAGTTCACCAAAAAATGTATATTTTGTCATCATTTACTCACCCTCAAGTTATTCCAAATCAGTATGAGTTTCTTTCTTCTGTTGAGCACAAAAGAAGATATTTTGAAGAATGTTGGTAATCAAACAGTTAATGGTAGCCATTAACTTCCATAGTATGCAAAAAAGGATAGACAGACAGACAGACAGACCCTTTGGAGAAGTACAGCATACATTACCAAAAAGAAGTCTGTCATTTTCAGAAAGATCCAGTTACTTTGATTAAACATTACAAGGTCATTAACAATAATAATAATGATAATAATAATAATAATAATAATAATAATTAATAATAAACTAATAATAATTCACAATAAGATGTATAGCATGCAACTCAGAAAAAAAGATTGTTAATTTTCATTTCATGCTGACTTTGAATATAACATTTCATAAATTATCAGCATATAAATATGACACCAATTCCATATTTGTCAGAAGAAAATTCTGGAAATTGAACTTTTACAGTGAAAGCAAAGTGTCTTACTTGCATTTTCAAGTCTTGTAAAAATAAATAGATGGGCTTCTTTCAACTTGTTGAAACACATTTTCATTTAGGCATTTCGTTAAAAACCGCTTGTACCAAGAGAACTATAGAGAGTGGAAACAAGCTTGTGAAGTTATCGTCATGGCAACCAGATACATTATTTGCTTAAACACATTCTACAAAGAAGTATCTGCAAACTAACCTGCAATACTGAAGAAACAGCTTCCTTTTTCTGCAGTGTCACCCAATTGAAACCACAAACAATAAAGACAGTAGCTACTGACACTGAAGCTACTCATAACAGAACAGAGAAACAGAAACCATGGTTTATTTACAAGTCAAGACACACCTCATGAAATCAGGATAAACCTAGAAATCTTGCCTTCCTAGAAAAAATGCACAATCACAAAATACTGGACACACAAACACAACACAAATACAGATAACTTCCCACACAATACAGAAGAAGGTTAAAGCCCTCATTCAAGCAGGTCCCTCTGCAAACAATCAATAAGAAGTAATAAGAACCTTAAAAAAAAAAAAAATTCCGTGGGGGGCACTAGACTGTGAACGCACACCCACCGTCAGTGTGACTTGGGCTGGATTTGGACACTTTTAAATGCTGACTGACAGCACTTGACTGATAGGTGGACATTTCTGCAGGAGCAAGGACAATTAAATGTGTGGTGACCTCACATAGGACCTCCTTCTAATAAGATAGGTGAAGCTATGGGAGAACATGGTGTGAAACTAAAAAAAAAAGGGAACATGAATTCCTTTGTTTGTCAACCAGAGCACCAAGGGAAAACAAAAGAGTGATTGACAGGGCGAGAATGAGAGAAGACAAAAGCAAGTACATGAGATGCGATCAAGATACCACCAGTGGTGCAATTCCTTATGTTAAGGAGGATTGTCCCTCCTAAAAATATGATTAGAAACCAGTCTGTCTATTGTAAATAACAATGTTTTATACTTTAAATAATTGTGTAAGTAGTAAAACAACACAAACGGGGAAAAAATGCATTTTAAGTTTAGAAACATTTTGAGTCTCCCCTCCCTTGCCTCACAGTGCTTTGGTCCAAATGCCTGCTTTCCTCTTTTACATCACCTACACACACAAGTCCAGTGAGAGAGAACAAAGCCAATAGTTGTGGAACTCCAAGGCTGTCAAGTCTATTTTATTCACTTAAACATCGGATGAAGTGATTATTTTCTCTTTAATTCAGATAATGCCAATGTATTTTTCGATGAGTCGCTATGTTAGCAATAATAAGGTTACCTGCTTGACTAAAAGGGTTGCCAGGTTTTTTACAACAAAACCCTCCCAATTGTTACCCAAAACTAGCCCAAACTAACTGCGTTTCGAGGGAGTCCCCCAGTAAAAATCGCATTCCAGGGGCTAAAATACACGTTATTGGGGTCGCTTCAACCTGCGGACATGAAAAACAACCCGCGGCAACAGTGATAATTAAAGTAGCCCGATTCCACGGGAAAACCACGGACTTGGCAACACTGTACGGATACAATGGACACGAGCGCTGTCGCGGCGCGTCGGGCGCAACCACAACAACTTGAAGTTGACTAATTTGGCACGGTCTCCCCGCTGCACTAATAGTGGTAAGGCTTTCCTCTCTGTATACATATCCTTACAAGTACAATCTTAGCTGTATTATTTGTGTCCCCTACAAAAATCGCTCTTGAGAAATGTTATGTTTATTGTCTGTTAGACGATATTTACGCCCCTGGACATGCCAGCATCTTCAACACAGGATGACATGAAGTCAATAACACATTCAAGAGCACAGAAATTCTTCTTCACTCAGCATCAGTTTTGAGATGGAAAAATATTGTTTACAGCACAATACTGGATGATTTTGAACCTCAGTAAAAGAGACATGAACTGTGTAACATCATAAGCACAATATTCCCAATGTATTGGATCTATTTTCCTCTGCAGAGCAAATGAAACCAATACCACTGGAATATACATTGTAAATGACAGGACTGTCAGCATACATCTCAACATTTATTTGTGAGTTACCGCATGTATTTAAATAGCAAACGGGCAGGGGTGTGGACTCGAGTCACTTGACTCGAGACTTGACTCGGACTCGAGTCCCAAATTTGATGACTTGCGACTCGACTCGAAATAATTGAAGAAGACTTGAGACTCGACTTAGACTTTGACAGCAATGACTCGAGACTTGACTTGGACTTGAGCCCTGTGACTCGGAAAGACTTTATTTGATCACTGGCAGCTTATTCACCACATCCAGAATCAAATGACAGTAACATTTATATTTCATTGCATATAGTAATTGCTCTGCAATAAAAGTAAAGCCATTCAAACCAGTTCAATTTTTGCTGATGATATTCGTCCCGGGGTTCCCCAGTGTCTATCATGATCTAAGTGAAGCATTCAGCAAATCCAAGCCTCTCAACTGCCTCCTCACAGACCCTGCGACTGCGCTATCGACCTTCTGCTCGACTCTAGTCCCCTGAAGGGCCGCATATTTCCCCTGTCACAACCAGAATCCGAAGCCATGAACAACTACATTCAGGAGGAACTGGCTAAAGGCTTCATCCAACCCTCCACTTCATCAGCGTCCGCAGGGTTTTTCTTCGTGAAGAAGGAGGGCGGTCTCCGTCCTTGCATCGATTATCGTGGCCTCAATGAAATGACTGTTAAATTTCGTTACCCACTACCCTTAGTACCCTCTGCACTGGAACAGCTGAGAACTGCCAAATTCTTCACCAAGCTGGATTTACGCAGTGCATATAATCTCATTTGGATTCGGGCGGGTGATGAATGGAAAACTGCCTTCTCCACAACCACTGGGCACTATGAATATCGGGTTATGCCCTTCGGCCTAGTCAACAGTCCATCTATCTTCCAGTCATTCATCAATGACGTCTTCAGGGACATGCTCAACAGGAATGTTATCGTATACATTGACGATATTCTGGTCTATTCCGAAACCCTCGAGGAGCATATCCAACATGTCAGGTCTGTTCTCAAATGCCTAACTCCTCACTTCCGGAGCCGTTCGCAGGGGGGGCTCTGTTACGGAAAGCGCTTCTGTTACTCTCTCTTCAGGCCACCAGAGGGCTCCATCACCAGAGTACTAGTTTACTCCCCGCACTACATTTCCCATCAGCCCTGTACCTGTCACTGATCATTCTCCCACACCTGTTCCCCATTACTTTAGACTATTTAATGAGCTCTTTCACCCAGATTCTCTGCGAAGTCTTGTTTTGCCTTGGTGAACATCTCTGAGCGTTATTCCGGTTTCATTGGACTGCCTTCTGTTATTACCTCTGCCTGCCTTTGTCTCTTGTTGATTTCATGCCTGCCCCTTGGACTTGTGCTCTGTATACTGGACTATCGACATTGGATTGCCGCCTGCCCTGACCTAAGACTGTCTCAGTTTCTGAACGATATCTGCCTGCCCCGATCTCAGGTCTGTCTATGATCACCATTCTGTCTGCCCTACGATACTGCCTACTCTGTGTCTTCACCTCTGCTTGTTTGATTAAGTTTCAAATAAAACTGCAAATGGATCCCAGCCGTGTTGATGAATCATTACAACCACAATATTAACTGTTATTACTGTTATTCCTGTGTTATTTCTGTTGTCACTGAGTTATTCCTGTGTTATTTCTGTGTTATTAATGTGTTAATT